TGGCATCTCCTGGCAAAGAAAGCAAACTGGAGAAAGTAGTCGCCTTCGATGTTGCGAGACTGGAAAGTGCTCGTACATTCAACAGAGCCAAGTATTCAAAATCTGATGCTATTCAGTGTTGAAGTAGATTTGGAATGCTCACATGGCCTGGAAACGAGCAGATGAAACCGACACTCCACGTCACTGCCTGGGCGTAGAGAGCCCGCGAGGCTGAGCCCAAGGCCATGAAAAGGACCGTCTGCGACAGCATCTATTCCGACCAGCTGGAGTTAGCTCTCCAAACAGATTGTCAATGAGCAACTCAACGGCAAAAATGGTTGAAACAACATCCGCATCCGACCCGGTATGTTCAAGGGGGGCTCTCGCCTCCCAATAAGTCTTCGTCCGGCTCAAAAGGGACATCCCTTGCCGCAAAATCCAACATACTTTCGCTTGCGTTATCATTTTCAAGTAATCGGACCTGCATTCTTTTCTTGGCCTTCTTCTTCTTTGTGTTGCTGACGGCTTGGGGAATTTCGTCTTCAACAAACATTCCGGTGGGGCCTGTAGCCAGAGATCCGCTTCCGGAGAAAACTGTCGTTTCTCGATAAATGACAGAGCCCTCGTCTACAGCCTGTTGGCTGGTGATATTCTGTGCATAAGAGAGAACTTCTTCACCGAAAACCCATTTTTGCTGGGGTAGTGAATCAAGAGTCTCCGAGACAGTAGCCCGGCCAGACTTCGCAACCAGGGTGCCTCCAACTTGGGTTTCCACCAGCGTTACCTCGTCTGGAAATAGAGAGATGGTGACTCTGCGGTCGGAGTGGAATGGCTGATACGGCGCGTTGGTCTCGATTTCGGCTGAAGCGAGCGGATGTGGCGTTCTCAAGGCTCCTTCTCTCGTAGGTCGGACTTTCCAGAAGCTGAGTAGTGCAGAGCTCTCACTGCTGCCTTCCTGTGCTTCATCTGACGAGTCCTTGGGGGGAAGATCAGCAACTAGTTCTGCAGCCTTAGGGAGCTTGATTGCGACAGCTCTCCGTGCATCGAATACCGATACCGTCTCCAACTGACGATTCTCCCGGGGCTTCGTCATCCGGACGTAGTAGTTCTTGATGTTGCTTTCATCCAGAATAGATAATACTGATTTCCCATCACGCTTCAACCAACAGAACATCCCGGCTCGGGCAGGAATCTTTAAATGAAGCCTGCTTTGATTGGCATGTCGGATGCTGGTAACAGTCTCAGTGGCAGCACCTAGGGACTTGCTAAGCCCAGCCGCTACTGCCCTGCTGCCACTTTTGATGCTGGTCGTAGAGGCAAACCCGATCCCTGACGGGGCCATCCCAGTCATCCCGCTGCTGATACTTGGCGCCCTGCCCCGCAAGCTTGCTAGCATCGGCTGTGTTCTACCAGCAATGCTCATAGCAGAAGCCAAGAATCCTCCGGGAGGGGCAGGATCGTGGTCTGCATTTACTTGAGAAGGATCAACCGGAGCAGAAGTCGGTCGATTTTTCTTGGTAGGAGGTGGTGGCCATTGAAAGGCAGCTTTTGGCAGGTCAAAAATGTGAATTGTTCGATTCTTCGTCAGGATGGCGAACCTGCAGCCAGTTGGACCATCCCAGGCAACATCTACTATTGACGAAGGACTTAGACGTTCGTAGCGGGCAATTTGCCGCACACGAACGCTTTCAGCTGAGCTTGAAGTCGTCGAAACTTTGACGTGTTTCATCTGCATCAAATCCCAAATATACTGCACATCGCCTTTCCGATTGGCTGTTAGAATGCCTAGACCGGTTGGCATGAATGACAGAAAGCTACACCCTCCCGGTGGTTGGAAGGTGATCATTGGGCTAGGCTCGGAGGTGACTTTCCGGTTTTGATTGTCTTGAAGCAGCTTCAAGTCAATTATTGATACAAGATCTGGATCCTTAGATATGCCTTGCTGGTCGATGGCGTGAGTAGGCGGAAACTGTGCCAGAGCGAGCTGAGGAGAGAATACTGGAGGACTGGAGGATGGGACAGTTGGCACGTTAGGGCTGGCTGTATCTCTTTTCCAATAGCTTTGCCAGGTCTGCATGCCTTTTTCGCTGATCCATTTCGCACCCCTTACCGCCTCCTGGGCGAAGCCTTTCGCCACTTTGCTGAAGAATGTGTCGACATCGGGAGACTCAACTTCGCAGTTGGGCAAAGGCCGCGAAGGAGCCGTTCCAGCCGTGATATTGGAGTTTTTAGTATGAACCACAAATTCACCCAAGATAGCCCCAATAGATCTCCGAGACGGTGTGCTTGCAGGGCAAAAGGCGAGCCATCGTCCGTTGAGGCTAAGGATCGGAAGGTTCTGGCTCTCCGGGCCACGACCAAGATCGGCGGGTGAAACATCCGCATCTGATCCTGGTCCATGAGAGGAGGAGTCCCTCCTGTGAAGCTGAGGTTGTATCGTAGTCCAATGCTTGCCTAGGCATTCAAACACCGCGGAATCCTTGCCTTGTCGGATGGAAAAGACAAAGATTTCTCCGCTGTCACCGGATGCCACAACAAGAAAGTTGCCGCTCGAATGGACCTTGAGGTTTGCCGCAGGAGTGATGCTTGAAGGAGCCCCTACCCCTGGGAAGCTCTCCATGGATGTTTGCACTCTCAGCAACTCAGCGACCCGGCAACCCTTGCTCAGAGAGAATATCACCACCTTCGTCTCGAAAGTTTTATGATGACTGCCTGGAAAGGATCGGTCATCTTGTGCAGGAGAGGGCTCTCCCGGCCCAAAGATCGTGAGCGCCAACAGAGGCCTGTAGTCCGCAAAGGGGATTTCACCGGTATTCCATGTGAGTAGTACGGCATCAAGTATGGTACCTTGCACACCACTGAGCGCCCCTACATGTTCCACTTTCTCACCACTGTAGCTGACGATGTGCAATTCGCCGTCTATAGCCAGAAAGGCAGCCTCTCGAGCCTCTTGTCCTGATCCTGGGAGGCGAGTGAACTTCAAAGGGACAGGTTCCGGTAGAGGCGTATGGGGAGGATGCAGACCCAAGTCAACATCGTGAGGTCCGTAAAAGTGCTGTTGAGGCAGATGTGGCGGTGCAGGTGGGGATCCATAGGCAGTCATGCCGTAGCCATAGGGTGAGGTCGAAATTCTCGAGTGAGTCGGAAGCGGAGGAATGGCACTGCTGTAGCTAACTGGACGAGCCTTCCGCAACGGAGGAGAAACGGGAGGGCTTCTGCTATTGAAGACGCCTCGGCTACTGAAGCCTGGCTCATAAGGGGGGGAACCACCCGTATTTAGGCCTGGAATGGGTTCGACCGGTGGAGTTTTACCATGGATAGCACTTCGGGCCCAGTTGTCAACTGGGGGAGTGTGCTCATCGGACACCTTCTGAGAAGCATTTACATCGTTCAAGAGGTCGAATTGACTGCTCTTTCTGGTCGAAGGAAATGCCTGGGGGAGTTGGCCCAGGATGGAAGGAGGAGGGTTCGAGGAAACAGGGTGTTGAGATTGACCCATTGACTCGACAGTCTTTTCGGCATGATCGAGGCTGGACAGCTGTTTGACAGCAGCATTCTTTGTCTTTCGCTTTCCTACTCTTGAGGAGGAAGTATCTTGGTCCGCCACGGTTTGGAAGCCTTCTCTTTCTAGATTCCTGGACTCGGCGGAGGCTGCTTTGTTGGACGCTGGCATTCAAGACTTGGGTGAGATACCGTGTAAGGCTGTGGCTAACTACTCTGTGCGAGCAGTAGAGTCGAACCTGTACGAGGAGCCAGGTCCGTAAGATACGTAGGGACGCCGTGCAGTACTCGAGAGGGACTGGCGCGGGGTTATTCGACGCGTCGGTTGGAGAGAGAAGGGTGAGGAGTGGTCTCGAGCGCAGATCAGCTTGCACCAGTGTTTAACTAGTTGAAGGAAGGAGGGACAGGTGGATGGCATGCAACGAAGGACTGGTGGATTATACTTGTTCTTTTGTCTTGCACAGATGAAGGAGTAGTGGTAGTCAGTCAGTCAGGTGGCATCACTTATATGTACTTTGCTGAGAGCAGCGACAGTACGTATGGAGGATGCAAGAGGCACTCCGCAATCTAATAGTGGTTGAGTCAGGAGGACTCCCAGGTGATTTTAGTGACCTGCTTATCGGCAACGGGGCGCTGCACGGGCGTGTGAATGGTCGCTGGGTCTCAGCGAGTCTTAGGCACTCGGGGCGGTCACTTGCAGCACCGTGCGGGGGAGCCATTCCACGGCCACGGCATGGGCTGCATGGGATATTACGATGTGGCTGGCCAGGTCACGAGCCACTAAAATAGTAAGGCGGTTCACAGCGTACGACGTACAAGGCCCACCCACAGGAACATCGTCTCACAAGAGCAGGACCTTCACTCTGTGGCAGCTGCTAGATGATCAATTGTCCGCCACGTTCCTTCTCTCGCTTCACAGGCGTTACCAAGTCCTCTTGAGGTACCAGGTTCGTGGCGGGGAGTCGACGAGGTGTAGAGGGAGGAAATCTCGTTTGTTGGTCCTCTGCGCCTGACTCACATTCCAAATTCCTCCAATGCCTTTATTTCTCCCCACTCATAATGACCACAAACGCCCGCTCCAGCGGAATTGGGACTGCAACAGGGCGCAATGACGTCTTTGGAGCGGCAGGGCCAGACTGATTGGTTCATGCAAAAAGAGGCATCCTCCGAATCGGGCTCCAGAGCTTGGGTGAAACGCTTTCATTCATCCAAGATATTTGCTGCATCGATGGCATATAGGTACAAGATCCCTTCTCGCTTTTCAGAAACATGAATGAATGCAACCATAATCGAGTCCTGGAGGATCGCAGACGGTGTTGCAATATACCAGACTTCTCACTGAGCAGAGGGAAAGCTGCGTCCACGCAAGACTGGGTCGCTCTGTGGTAGGGAGTGAGAGGTCTCTCGGGGTGTCAGTGTCCCCCTTGTTGTTGTCACCGAAGCACATGGTAGCTGCAAATTACCCACGGCGTGAATGCTGATGAGACCCGGTATGAACTCTTGTTCTTCTTTCCAATCTTTCATTTTGACTTCTTGGCCGCAGCGGCTCTAGCCTTTGCCGCCTTCTTTCTATTGCTTCTGATCATCACCATGGCAAGGAACGTCCCTACAACAGCCGACCCAAGAAGAGTGAGGATGACCGGGATTCGGATTGCCCAGACGCGAGGGGGGAAAAGGCTCTGAAGCGGGTGGTCGTCGTCCACGAACGGCTGCAAAAAACTCAGTTGAAACCTACAATGACGGTAGATGTACAATACCATGAACAAGGTCCATAATGTGTAATATAAGAAGACTGTGGTTGCCACCACGAGCATCGCCATGCCAACAATTTTGTCCAGCTGTGGCAGGGGAACAATTAGTATTGTAATTGAATGCGTGGTCTGGGGAGTGAGAAACTACCATCTCGCCACGATTTGCTTCCTGATTGTGGGTTCGGCCCTTTGGAACTTAAGTCTTGTGAAAGAAGGCTCGAAGAACCACTGTTGAAATGTTGGACACGCGGGCAGAATTGAACACGCAGTCGCGTTCTCAGAAAATGGCACTTTCGCTGGACAGCCCAAAAGAGGAATGGTCTCGGAAGAGTTTTTCCGGATTCCGATTTTGAAAATCAACTTTCGATGTGTTTGCCTGTCACTACCTTCGAGTTAACCCTCAACACGAGATACCTTCGCCTTCACGAACAAGGTGAAACCTGAAGACATGAATCTAGCATCACTCTGTCCATCTATTTCCAGCGTTTGAGCAAAATCAGCATGGCGGACACGATGTTGCTGTCGTCCGCCGTCCGTCTCCCCACCCCACCCCCAGGTGGTTCCTATTCACCAGGCCCTTCAGCACCCAGAAAGAGATCCCCTCCTTCTCGCTCACCTTCTCCTAAACGTCGCCGACCTGCGCCCGTTGAAGACAATGACGAGCGGGAAACGAGAGGGGCAGAACCGGAGCGCGAGATGGATGAGCGGGAGAGACAATTGCTCGCCAGGTTCAAACCTAGAGAATCAGATGAAGCAAGACGGAAACCGTTGACTGCTGAAGAAAAACAAGCGGCCGCGAAAGCTGAGTACGAGAAGCTACTCACCATGCGCTCAGGCGGCACCTATATTCCTCCAGCGAAACTGCGTGCCTTGCAGTCACAAATCACCGACAAGTCAAGCAAGGAGTATCAGCGGATGGCTTGGGAGGCCCTAAAGAAATCAATCAATGGCCTCATTAACAAGGTCAATGTCTCCAATATCAAGCACATCGTCCCTGAATTATTTGGTGAAAACCTGGTCCGCGGTCGAGGATTGTTCTGCCGCAGCATCATGAAGGCCCAGGCCGCTTCCCTGCCCTTCACCCCTATCTATGCAGCGATGGCCGCTATTGTCAACACAAAATTGCCTCAAGTCGGGGAGCTACTCCTTAACCGGCTGGTCGTCCAATTTCGCAAAGCCTTCAAGCGCAACGACAAAGCAGTCTGCCTCTCTTCCACCACTTTCATCGCTCATCTGTGTAACCAGCAAGTCGCCCACGAGACTCTGGCTGCACAGCTACTTCTATTGCTTCTACACAAGCCGACCGACGACTCTGTGGAGATAGCGGTTGGCTTGACGAGAGAAGTGGGCCAACATTTAGAGGAGATGAGCCCACCAATCGCACTGGCTGTTTTTGATCAATTTCGAAGCATTCTGCATGAGGCTGACATCGACAAACGAGTCCAATACATGATAGAAGTTCTGTTCCAGGTCAGAAAGGATCGGTACAAAGACAATCCGGCGATTCGGGAAGAACTCGATCTAGTAGAGGAAGAAGATCAAATTACGCACCAAGTCGACCTTGATGATGATATTGACGTCCAAGATTCGTTGAACGTTTTCAAGTACGACCCACAGTGGGAAGAACATGAAGAGGCGTATAGGAAGTTGAAAGCCGAAATCCTAGGGGAAGAGAGTGGTGATGAGGAAGAAGGTGATGAGAGTGGCTCTGATGAGAGCTCTGAGGATGAAGAGGCCGAGCAAGAGCGTGCATTGGAAATCAAAGATCAAACAAACACAGACCTGGTCAATTTGCGAAGGACAATTTACTTGACAATCATGTCCAGTCTCGATTTCGAAGAAGCTTGTCACAAGCTGATGAAAATCCAACTCCCGGCGGGGCAGGAATCCGAGTTGCCTTCCATGATCATAGAATGCTGCTCTCAGGAGAAGACATACTCGAAGTTCTTTGGCCTTGTCGGTGAAAGATTTGCGAAACTAAATCGACTCTGGACAGACTTGTTTGAACAAGCCTTTGCCAAGTACTACGACACAATTCACCGATATGAGACAAATCGGCTGCGGAACATCGCTCGCTTTTTTGGACATCTGTTGGCCACCGATGCTGTTGGCTGGCACGTGTTTTCTGTGGTGCATCTCAATGAAGAAGAGACCACTTCCAGCAGCCGTATCTTCATTAAGATACTGTTCCAGGATCTGGCTGAAGCCATGGGACTGCCTGAGCTTCAGAAGAGGATGAAGGATGAAATTCTTCTACCCAGCTATTCCGGAATTTTCCCGACAGACACACCTCGCAACACACGATTCGCCATCAATTATTTTACGTCCATCGGCATGGGCGCCCTCACAGAGGAAATGCGTGAACATCTCAAGAATTTGCCTAAATCGGAGCCCCCCGCTCTCCCGGCACCAAAGGACGATATCTCGGATTCAGAGAGCGTCAGTTCATATTCGAGCTATTCTAGCTACACGACGAGCAGGTCATCCACAAGAAGTCCTCCTCGCCGGGCTGATAGAAGGCCTCGGTCGTCAACTCCGGATGATCGGGCGAAAGGCAAAACTCGTGGCTGGCGTGCCTCCGATTCACGATCGAGATCCCCACCTCCAGCCCGAGGTGCAAACAGACGAGGAGAAAGCTACAGCTCATCACTGTCGCGATCGCGCTCTCGCTCGGCTCGGCCACGTGCGCTACCGAGAAGACGATCACGCTCCTGTTCAGCCTCTCGAAGTCCTCCGTCAAGACGAAGACGAGACTCTGGCCCTCCACGCGGACGAGCACGTACACGATCAGAGTCTTATAGTAGCTCCTCGGGCGATTCGCGTTCCCCCCCTCCGCGACGGCTTCCAGCCCGGCGCCAGGGCAATCCCTCAACGTCACGGTCTAGATCCCGCTCTCCGCCATCACGCCAAGCCAGTCCTGTTGTACATCCATCTCGACGGCGCAACTTCCCACCTTCAAGACCAAAATCCAGATCGCGTACACCACCGCGGTTCAACCGTCGGCCAGCAGCAAGGAGAAGTCCAAGTCGCAGCCTGTCGCGGTCGCCATCGTGGTCTCCACCACCCAGGCGTAGGGCTGACCGATATTCGCCCAGCAGGAGCAGGAGTCGAAGTGTGACCCCACCGCGACGAAGAGCACCTCTACCGAGGAGAAGGAATTCGTCTAGTGTTAGTGGACGATCAGCGTCCCGGTCGAGGTCACCACTACCTGCACGAGGGAAGCAGGGCAAGGGAGGAGCGAGGAGATGGTCGCCGAGTCCGAATAGGAGGGGTGGCGATGGAAGAGCGAGGGCCGCGGATTTTGACTAGTTGGTGGACAAGATGTAGATGGTGCGAAGAAGGAGTGGTCGCAGAGCGTCAAGGAAGGAGGAAGTGGACATGCCGGGCATTGTTAATTATGGAATAACATGATCCTAAAGCAAAAAAGGGCGACCAAGTAGCTTGGGGACAAAGGGAGGTGTGTGTCTCTTCTCTCGTCAGCGACGCTGCACAATTACTGGGTAGTTACGGTCACCGGAAGGGACATACATATTCCACTTCATACATACATACATTCATTCGCTCACTCAATTGTTTCAGTATCCCACCTCATTTTGTATGCTTTTGGGTTCTATGTGCTTTGCCCTCCATATACAACGCGCCCCTCCCAACGCGCCCCTCCTGTATGTTTTGTCTTCTTATGCCCTCATGTACTCAGCTCGCTGCGTTGTTACGCCGTAGTGTATATTATAACAGCATTGCCGAGCACGCCATATCCTCGTTTCAACTATCTCATAGTATGCCTAGGGTTAGTAGCATAAGTAACATATGTGGAATATCCAGGCATGTAGCATATGTAACTTGGCCGCTCGCACATGTATGATATGCCGCACGCCTGGGTAGCAGAGCTTTAGCATAGCATATACAACATATCAAAGGCATGCCGTCCACCTTATCCCATTTCATTCCATCCTCCTCTCTTCCCATCCCATGCCATCCCATCGTATGGCATACCGTGTCATAAGCCCGACGCCGTACGGGCGCCATGTCACGCCACGCCACGCCATACCATGATAACGGCGAAATAAACAGCTCTGTTGCTCTTGGGACTCTTTTCCCTCTGAGCCTCTTCTTTCCCAAAAGCCGCGACCAAGAGAGAAAGACGAGAGAGACAGACGGGTATACAGTCGCAGGAAGTTCTTTCCCAAGTCTCGTAGCGCGGTACGCGGCTTTGTATGGTTCAGTCGATTCCCCATTTTGGAACACTGAATATTGATCATGGATGGTGATGATGGATGATGATGATGCATTCCTATCCTGACGCCGACCACCAAACCAGCCAGCCAGCCAACCAGGCACGTCATCTCGCTTCCTCCAAACGCCTTATGCTCGTTTATTTGTCGTTACCATTCATACCGTATCGTCGTCATAAGCGAATCGTACATCCTTCAAGCCTCGCCCGCGACCACCGCCTCTGTATCCACTCCATCCGTCTGGCCCTCGGACACCCATGCTCTGGCAAAATTGCTCATCACCCTGCGGTCTCTCATTCTTCGTATTCCCCGTCAGCATGCTCTGCAGGCTCATGCAGACGGACTCTACGGACTGAACAGGTGACCACCCGGCTGTGCCCAGGAGATCGAGGCAGATGATGCCGTTGGAGTAGATGTGTGGGTGGATCGGGATGGGCCGGCCTGCAAAGGGTGTCTCAGACTGTGATTGCTGTTGTGGTTTCGCAGGGTCGGTCGGGGAGGGCGGCACTTTGATGAAGACGACTTCGGGCGCTTCTATATATTATTTCATGGCCTCCATGTTAGCCAGCGTTGTCCCATCCTCTCATAGTGGGTTTCCTTCTTTCCTTCTTCTCTCTGCAGACGCCGTACGTACCGATAGGGTAAGAGTTTGAGAAAAGAAAACTGAGACGGAAAACTTGGTTCATGTAGAGAGGATTCGCATCCAGGACTCGGATGTCGACCAGCCATTCCCGGAAGTCGTCTGCTTTGACCAGTTCGATGCCTGGAGGTAGTTTTTGTTTTGCCTAAA